TTCTTTGCCAACCTGAGAAAGGCAGCTGTTCTTCCATCCCTGGAGTTTCTTCGCAATTCTTTCAAACAAGTATCCAAATATCTCAATCCTTGAGCTCCCCCAGACAATCAGAATACCCAAGTACTTAGCACAATGAGGTAATGGTTGCATTCCCAGTAGCTGATAGAAAGTACTCTTCTGCTCCTCAATAGTGTTGCTAGAAAAAATGACACCAGACTTATGGTAGTTAGCACACTGCCCAGACGCCTCACAGTACTTCTATAGGATCTTCATCAGCTCCCTAACGCCCCCTTCTTTTGCTTTGATAAAGAACTGTGAATCGTCAGCAAAGAATAAGTGGGAGATGGTAGAACTTCTTTGTTTGATCTTAATACCCAACAGCTTCCTCTCCTCAGCACCTTTCGATATCATAGCCGATAACACATCCGCAATAATGATGAACAAATAGGGAGATAACAGATCTCCCTACCTAATTCCCCGTTAAGGCTTAATATCACAGACTTTTTTCACATTCAAACAAACTGCAGGGAAACAATGCTAATACACTGCATTATGAGCCCGACCCATCTTCTGTCAAAGCCCAGTTTTAGCATTGTGACTTTCAAAAAATTCCACTCAACTCTATCATAGGCCTTGCTAATGTCCATCTTTATTGCCAGCTCTGGAGCCCTGCCCTTTTTCTTTCCTTTAAGATGGTGGAATACTTCATTAGAAATTACTATATTGTCCTGTATTTGTCTGTTGGGGATAAAGGCCGCCTGATTTGGAGAAACCAAAAACCCCATCATCCTCTTCATCCTGTTTTTCAGTACCTTTGAGATGATCTTGTATAAGAAGTTGCAGAGAGCAACAGGTCAAAATTGAGTAATGGACTCGGGTGCAGCCTCCTTAGGAATGAGGACCACATTGGTGATGTTGAGCTCCTTCTTCATCAGACCCCCCTTAAAGAAGACCTTAACCAATTGATAAACATCGTGTCTCACAATGTGCCAAAACTTGTGAAAGAAAATTCCCGGAAAACCATCGGGCCCCGGGGCTTTGAGGGCACCCAACTCACTGACAACTTCTTGTACTTCTACCTCCGAAATTGCCCTTAACAACTCATTGTTCATGTCCTCAGTGACTTTACTCTCCACAGCACTCAATGCTTCAGACCAGTCCCTATCACCGACAGAGTTGAACAAAAACCGAAAGTAGTCACTAATGTGGTCCATAATCTCCTCATCCCCCTCTATCCAGTCACCACATTCAACTTTGAGTCTCAGGATCTGATTGCAGTTCCTTCTCTGGATCGCAGTCAAATGGAAAAATCTTTGTATTTTGGTCCCCATCCTTCAGCCAATTAACTCTTGAGCGTTGCAGCCAGAACTTCTCCTCTCTACATCTGTGGGAGTCAATCTAGGAGCATATATATGCCTCCCTAATAAGATTTTCTTCAGTGGGCTCATGTTGTTGAACCTAGATTAATTCATCCCCCAGCTCCCGAATGATCTTCTTGTTATTCCTGAACTTTTTCTTACTCCAACTGGACAACCGTTTCCTGCATCTATCAAAATTAACAATGGCATTCCGCATCGCTGAATCTAGGAGTCTCGAGGTCCAGCTATCCTTGATTACCTCTTCATATTCGGGATCCTCCAACTACAACTTAAAATAAAATGGAGCCCTCTTGGTATTAAGACCAAGATCAATGACAACAGGGCAGTGATCAGACCCCATTCTGGCTTCATGGGTCATTTGAGTGACGGGGAAAAGGGCATTCCAATTGAGGTTGACCAGGACTCTGTCAAGGCGTTCATGTACATTGGCAGCACCTGGCCTATTGTTTGACCAGGTAAATCTAGGTTCGCAAAAGTTTAATTCCTTGAGACAACAATCAGAAATTAATCCTTGTATCTCTTCAACTTTAGAAATGCTACTGGCTGATCTGCCTTCTTTCTCATCCAAAGCCCCAATAACGTCAAAGTCTCCAGCAACAATCCAAGGTGTATCCAAGGACCTGGCCATCAATTTCAATCTCTCCCAAGTCCTCTTCCTCATCTCGTACTTTGTATCAGCATAAACAACATGCATTGCCACCACTCCTAATGGTGAGAAAGGCAGCACCTTACATTAACTTCTTGGTTGTTTCCTTCACCTAAAGACTAAACCCCTCTTTCCACCAGAGGGCAAAGCCACCAGACATTCCCACAGGGTCAACATATTCAAAGAAATGAAAATTCAGGAATCTTCTCAATCTCTCTAGCTTATGGGACTTATTTTTTGTCTCTATAAGGAAGACGATTGAGAGACGATGGGTATTAATAAGCCCTTACAAATTGCAGACTGTCTGGGGTCGTTCCATTTCCTGACAGTTCCAACTGAGCATTAACATGAGTCGTGTGGTTGTTTAAGGTCAGCCACCACCACCTTATCTGATCTACAAGCTACATCATTCTCATCTGGTATCCCTCTAGGAGGGTGAGCTATCCACTGAGACATACATTGGTTAAGATTGTTCTTTCCTCTCCCTTCAATAAGGACATTGTTTTCCTCATCTTGGTCTTGGTGATACTGTCCTACTGCATTTACCATGACATCAAAGTATAACTCAGAGTTCGACCTTTCTCCAGTCATTGTCTTCCTCTTAGCCCGTCTTCTAGTTGCATGGTTCCTCCCAAAATTTACAAGAGACATATCAATAGCCAAAGGAAGGCCAGAATAAGGGAGGGAAAGGTGAAGGGCACTTGGGCCGCTATCCGAAAAAGCTTTTAAGTCTTATCCATGGTTGTGTGTGGGCTTCCAAAATGTCGCTTTCCAACTGGGCTTTCCTTTTAAGTGACATATTCTGGAAATGGGCCTCCATATCATCACCCTTCTCCTCATCTTCGCTATCGGATATAACATGGACCTCTATTTCCTTGGGCTCCTGGGTTTCCATACTGGCTGTGGGCTCAACGACATAGTAGGAACCTCTTTTGACTGCCACTGATGTGTTTGGATCATCTTGGGAATCAGACAGGGACAGGGACAAAGAGAGGGATTGATCCCATTCCTGGTCCCCACCAGGGAAAGGTACCACTGAAAGTAGAGGTACATGGCCTTGGGTGCCACTTTTTCACTCCAGCATGGTACGTCCCTCACTGCTGGCTTGGGTCCTCAACACGTCTCCCCTTTAATCGTTAGGGATGTCAGATGATTCTTCTTTTGCTATACTGTTTCCTCATATCTCCTTGCAATTTGTCGGCACTGCATCCCCTCCGGACGTCTGTACTTTTCCTTTGATTTTTTCTTTCTTTTCCGACTCCTCCCGTGCTCTTGGTGACCAAATTTCCCTAAAAAAACCCTCCGAGTTGATTGCTTTGTGCTCTAAGCTCAAGTACATATTGGCCATTGGATCCAAACGCTCGTTTATCCTTACATTGGCTTTGTGGATAGCCAATCTGACCACACTGATAGCAGAAGTCAAACAATCTCTCGTATTTCAACTTGATCTATATATCGTCCTGGTTATCCCGGGTGAGGAAGAAACCTTTTTTAAGGATTCATTCAGATTGATCCGGCATTTCACCCTCAAATAGCTCCGCTGGATTTGGACCTCACTCTCAAACTCCTCCAATTGGGTTGGATCACCTATTATCTTACCTATTCTCCATGAGTTGTTTTTGGTCATCATGTCAAGAGGCAGCCCCCAAATTTGCACCCAGAACTCAGCTAGTTGGAAATCAAAGTCTCCTATAATGCACTGAGGTTGATACATCTTCAACACCAGAAGGGCCCCAAAGATAGACCATGGACCTTCATTCAGAATTTTATCTCTATCCTCCTCTTTTTTGAACATAAACAAATAAATGTTGCGCTCCTAGTAAGTAATAAAAAACCCTTTAGAGGTCTTCCAAGAGTTCTGTAACACATTGCAAACCCCCTATTTATTGAGGTTGTCTCAGTGGAGAAACGGCCAACAAGACAGAACTTCTCAATCGTCTTTGAGGTGGAGGGATTAGTATAGAGGGAAATGTGTGGGTGGTGGGTAGAGTGTGAATCAGCTTCTAAGTCCTTATCCATAGAGAAATATAGATGATAGCAGCCTTGAGAAGGGTAAAAGAGCTTGAAAAAACAAAGGAAAGGCTATAGGTGAGTAGTAGAATGAGGGTTTTGGGATTTTGGGGTTTTAGTTTATAGTAGACGACCCAGGAGTATCTCGACTTTAGGGATATAGACTGTTGGTAAATACGACATAGAGACCAAGCTTAGGTTAACTCAGAATCCAGAGTGAGGGAAGAAAGAATGGGGAAGAGGGTTTCAGTATTCGTCTTAGAAAGAAGAGCAAAGAAGATAGGGCAACGTAGGAAACAACTCTAACGTTTGTGAAGATGAGGATGATATATTGGGTTGGGAGAAAGGGGTATGAATGTAGGCAAATGTCAAGACGTTTACAATCACTGGAACTTACTGATGCAAACCATTAATTGGGAAAGCTAAACGACGCAGGGAAAGGGTTGAATCTGCTACTGGAATAAGGCACAGAGAGAAGAAATAAATGATGGGTAGGTAGAGTGTATAACAGGGAAGAAGAGGTAATGGAGAATGGGAGACGAGGCGATCTTCCTCGGTATCGCCAATGGTATTCACTGTTACAAAATACACAAGGGTTTAAGAGGGGGCATAGGAAAGGACAAATGAGAATAATCTTAGAAAAACCCTAAACCTAGGGAGAGAGCTCTCATCCCGAGAGGCCTATATTTAGGTATCATGTGACAAGTTTATAATCAGAAACCGGTAGCAATTTGAATGTTATCTGTTTGAGAGATCACATAGAAACATATTCAATACTTAAGAGATCAAAATGATGCAACTAAAATATTAGGAACCAAAATAAGACAAATCTCATATTTTGAGAACCTTCGGTGCAACGTTAATAAATATTCCTTACCACATTTCCTTCGAAACTATTGTGGGTTTCATAGGCAATTATGTTTCAAGCTTTTTAAAAAGACAAAGATTTTTCAATGTATTGCATTAGAGGTATAGCTTTATTACTGCTGCAAATGAATCCACAAAGGTCATCTAAGATATATCAACGGCCATCTAAACCATTCCAAAAATAAATCAAAGTTCGAACAACCTACAACGCATTATCAAACACAAAAACTAATATGCTATACAATGGTAAGTCCTTTTTACTTATAAGCCTAAACGATTGTAACAAAACAAATAGTAGTAAATCTTTATCATGAAACCAAACCTGGCCACTAAATGTGTCACTTTTTAAGCCCTTGGGTACCCAAATCAGCTGCAGCCACGGCTGCACGATTGAGGACATCTGAAACCCAGAGTGCTCCCTTTGCAAAGTAACTGCTGTTGACTACAGCATTTGTAGCTGCCACAGCTGTTCTCCCTGTAAACGACGCAACTGACATGGTGACCTCTGACACATGGTACTTCTCATCCACAGATTTAACAGTCTTCATGCCCGCATTGATTTTATCAGTGAGCCCAATTCTCTTGCTAAGCTCTGCCACCTTGGCCACTGCAGCGGATGAGACTTGATGCGACTCGTCAAAAGCTTTGGCTTTGGATAATGCATCTTTGCTTAAAACATATCCTTTAGCTATCATGGTTTTCACTACTTGCTGTGTCATGGTTACAGCTTCCCCAGGAGAGGAAATAAACTGATTCACGTGAGAGACCTGCTATGATGAAGTAAAGGAGCTTAATAAGGCAATTGAATTTTCTAAAAGAAAATGGAATCACATCGTATCTGAGAGAGCAGATGTAATAGACTAATTTATTTAATGGGAGGATTAGATTCAACTACAGAACACAGTAAAGACCCCCTTGTTCTTAAACTTAAATTGCTCTCTCCCAATCAAATTTTATAGGCAAAAAAACCCCATGTTAATATTTTCCAGGCATAACTCTCTGATGCCAAATAATTCTTATATTTCCGTTTGTCTCCAGTGTATAGTGAAAAACCAGAAGAGACCCATGATCCCAATCCTCTGGAACTATTTGAAAAAATACAAAAATTTTCACCCCGAATTGAACTTTTACAATTTGCATTAGTGGCATAAGCCGTCCTCCTCTGAAACAAATGGCTCCTTGCCATGAAACCTCAAAAGAAGCTTATTTACATTATATTGAATTATGTTTTTGTTGATTTCTTGATAAGGCACCACAGATAGTTATTAGTAGCTGAGATCAAGCCTACACTGTAGGATAAATTTTGGGAACTACAAGTCTACAACTACTTACAGGAACTGCAAAAGAAACACCTACCGTTGAGCTACTCGCATCGCCCACCTTCCATGAATGGTCATTCCAAGGATCAGATTCATCTATATATGCTCCCCAGCGTGATATACATACACTCTGATCTGCGATGGTAGCTCCCTGAAATAACATGACGACAGGAAAGCAAATCAAATGCTACAAAGGAACATCCGTACATAAAAACTGGTGCAATGGATACCTCATAAAGTTGAATTGAGTGCCTGTATCTAATTGATATAATTCAATTGCCTCGTACAGACAAATTGTACCACGTATATTCTACACAAATGTAGCAATCTTTCCCCAACCCGCACTCCAAAAGACAAGCGAAAAAGGACAGAAAGGAACAAAAATAAAAGGAAAAATCACTTCATATGCAGTTAAAGCAAATTGACTGATTTCAAACTCTAAACAAAATGTCATTTCACAAATGGATCACTTTAATTTCATGTTGAGTCCATTACCGTAGTAGAAATGACCAGATACAAATTATAATTATATAACCATTCCGATGGGCATCTTAGCAACTTGAGAGCACCACAGGCTTAGTAGCTCACATGGTACCCAGTGGGACTTTCCATTCCCAACCAAGGGGTTAAGCCACTATGTGGTCTCTGAAAGAAGTGTATATGTAATGAATTCTGAGAGGTAATTTCATGGGAAATTAGAGGACAATTCGACTTCGATTATGACAGCAAAGATGTATGTTTTACCTGAAACTACTAAAAGTGAGAAAATCTTTTATGATAATAACAAAGAAAATCTAGTTATTGGCTCTTACTTTAATGCCTGGGAAGAGTGACTTGTAATTAATTTCATCATATTTGCTTCAGGATTGTAAATAATTGACAATACAATTCAGCCAACCAAACTGGCCACTTGGGCACTTACTACTTAAAACAATACAGTTACCTACTTCTACAGAGAAGTCAAAAAGACCCATTTTTTTTAGGTTAAGAAAGAATATGACTGCCGAAACATTCGATGACAATTTCACTTTCTCATAAGATAAAACAAGTTTAGTATTATTCTAGTAGTAACCCAAAGTCCCTGAAGTTATTCAAAACATATCCAACTTATTCTTAATGAAACAACTGACATAATTGAAATTGAATATTATTCTTGTTGTCACAAATGAATCAATAGCAACTTAAATAATCACGAGTGATTTAAAGCTACAGAATCATCCAAGCCATTTTTAGCTTATCAAAGCAGAAAGTACTATTAAGTACTATAATCCATTAAGTGGAGATGGTCTGATGTAAGGAAAAGTATATCCATCACAAGTCCATCAAAAACTAAAAATCATGGAATGAAGAGATGTGAGACTGGAAACCTGGCTTACTAATCAAAGCATCTTGTAAATTGTTTCTCCAGCAACTAGCATGATGCTGTTAATAAAAATGTAAATGAGAGCTTACACTGAGCAAGGCGGCAGTTTCCAGCGCATGAACATGTTTAAATGTCACATAGGCAGTACAGGCATATTCACCAGATCTGCATATGACAAAAAACAGCTTCATTAATCAGAAATATGGCACAACCATCTAAGTCACCAGCAAATTCAACAATAAACCATGAGCGAACCCACGCTCAGAGACTCCACAGTCACCAATCAAAGAGTCCCTCTTGTGATGATCAGCAGATCACATATCAGAAGTTGAGATAGAATTCACCAGCCCTCTACAACTTGAAGCACTATTGTGATAATCAGAACACATATTTTATTTTCTTTTCTTGGTTTCAAAAAACAATGCATGCTCTAGTTGGTTGCCAAGAAAATGAACTAAAAGCTAATAAATGGAATCTTAACCCTCAGACTACATCTAATCGTAAGATTCCAACAAATCTTTGCTATTATATCTTGGTTACATAGAATTGGTGACGGATTAGATTTGGATGCCTTGGCACGTGAAAAGCAGTTTGTTTATTAAGTGCACATTCAGATTGCAAATGTTTTCAATTTCTTCACCATTGTGCATGTCATTTTATGTAAATGTCCACCATCTTGAACGAGCCACAAAAAGATGTTCTAGCCACCATAGCAGATGCTAGCAGAACAATTTCTTCAAGTTGTTTGTGATTCAAATCATCCAAAAGCAGGTCACATATCAGAGGTTGAGAGATCACATTTCCTTAACAACCTATTATTGACCTTTGAGAACGTGCCCTCTAAAAACAAGAATTTGTATTTGGATATGCATATTCCCTCCCCCCCCCCCCAAAAAAAAAAAAGAAGCAAAAAACTAGGACACATGCCAAAAGATTTGATCAAGCGAGAGTCAAATTCAAAATTAGGTAAAGATCCGAGACATAACCTTTCCACAAAGAAACCAGTGTCACACTGAAAATAGATCAATTTCTGATTAAGGAACATCATTATAAAAATTACAGCCTAAAGTAATTCATCCGCAAGAAACTGAGTTGCCAAAAAGTACCTGATGATTTCTACATGTTCAATCTCGCCACAGTAAGAGAAGAAGTCATAAACATCCTTCTCTGTTGCTTTAGGAGAGAGGCTTGTTACTTCTGCAGTATAACTGCCTGGATACATGGGCTAGAACCTGAGCAAGTCACCAGAGTTGAGGAGTGAACCTGGCTGAATTGAAATTTAAAAATTCCAACAGCTTAGGTGTTTAACTTTCATTATCCAATGGTATTAATCAGTGTCAAGTTCACCCTCAGATATGATAAAATCATTAGGTTCATATTCTTCCTTAAGGTATAGGAACAAAAAAATCAAGGACATCTCAGAAAGAAATAGCAAACGTTATAATCTTTGTGTGAGCTTTACAATAACGATATCAACCTAAGAAGTGGCCCCTTCATCAAATTATTTCATTGCTGGAGCATACTACAAAAGAGGAGATAAACAGAAACTACATTGCTAATACCCTGTAGATGTATTACGTATCTTCTAAAATGAAATCCATAAGAGTGATGTATTATCTTCAGATTTAATCGAAAATAAGGCTTTTCAAATTTAAGAAAGTATGATGCTTTTGCAGGGCAATGAGAATGTTTTTCCACAAACTAAAATGGTTCTAAAATCCTGCAACTCTAATCTGGTTCACAGATAATGGATATCACATGCAAAAAGACTAAAAACAAATGATGGCTAGCCTCAAGACCATCCTAGAATGATACCTCGGACATATAAATTTAACATCCCTCCCATTTCCACGAGTAAATAATGGAAGAGGAATGGCAACAAATCCAACAAAATTGAAGACACAAAAACACAAGAGTATACAAACATATGAAGCTACATCAAATTATAATGTTTTTTCTAGATTACTTCCCACCAAGAATACAAATTGCCAATCAAAGAATTAAAAGAAAGACAGTTGTTCATACTGAGTTAAAGAATTACCCTCAAACATCAATTATCTTAGATATACCCATCAAGAACTTATGAACTGAAAATAAATTAAGAATATGTACAAGTTCCACATACCTGTGTCTGAGCAGGGGGCTGAATCGCTTGGACGACGCAGAGGGGTGGAGAGAGAGAGAATAACAGTGTGGACTGCGGATGATAACCAAACCCCACCTATTTCCGAACAGCGATTATGTTCTATAACACGTGTGACGCCCCAGCAACTTGAGAGCAACACGTTGCATATACCTTAATTTCAGATGATTCATTTTTTGATTAATCTTAAAGTATGAAATTTATTTTATTATAATTTTTAATATTTTAATTCTTAAAATATTGAATATATTTATATGTTCAAATTATTAATAATTTTTTATTATAAAATTTTTACATAATATCTAAAATAGATAAAAAAATAATTTAAATAATACTTGATTAAATTTTTACCTAAATTTTAGTCAAAGAACTATCTAAACTATATAATTTTGATTATGAATTATCCAAATTTTATTCAAGAACTAACAAAATTATTTTTTATTCATATTTAGATATCACGTAACATATTTATAATAAAAAAAATTATTAGAAATTTAAATATTATCTACTTGAGAAATTATATAGAAATTTATTCAATATTTCATAAATTAAAATAAAATAATTAAAATATTATAAACTAAAGTAAGATAAATTCTACGCTTTAAGAACTTTCAGCGCAATTAAACCTTGGTTTTTTAATTACATTGATCACCCGGGTCGGTTGTTTTCTATAAGAGAAACTTCAATTTACTCCTTGTAGTATACCTCAAATATACTTTCCCTTTGTATTTTATAAATGTCCACGTAACTCTCACAATCGTTGTGGACCAATATGCTTTGTTAGAATTTCTGTCCAAATTAACGGTAGTGTCCCACACGAGCCTGATCTGGTATTGGATTTGTACAATTCATTTTTTGAAGACATAAATACCCTTGCATGTTTCAAGAAGTACCAAAAATGTGAAATTACTTAATTTTCTCCATCAACGTTACTTTTCTCTGTTCTCTCATTTCTCTACTACCTCTTCTGTCTCTCATTTCTCTGCTTCTCTCTCACTTCCCTGGACTGCGGATTATTATTCTAGACTATAGACGAAAGAGTTTGAGGAGAGAAGATGATTTTTTTTTTTTTGGGGAGGGGGGGAGAATAGTGACGGTTGCATTAGCGATTGGGGGTCAATTTGTGATGGTAGCAGTGGTTTTTAAACATTTGAGGATTTGTCGATTTTGATTTTTAAATTTTGATTTCAGACTTGGACTTGCAATTTTTTGTAGTGTCACAAAGAATGATTGGTGTGGTCTATGTTCACGCGTTGCTTGATGTTGACGATTTTTATTTGAATCTGGTGCGCAATGGGGGTTGGTAGAGTTGGGTTTAAATTTTATGTGTGAATTACCTTAATTTTGTTGGGTATAACATAAAATTGGGTAGTCTAAAAGGGAAGGAATTATCCATGTTAGTCGGCGGATCTGTCCATGTTAGCCAAGCGATACTCGTGCATTATCCAATTGGTTTTCGCTCTTCTAGGAGCTTTTCCGGCATAGAACACCCGTGCCTTTTTTATTCCAACGGCTTTCGGATTTGGTCCCAATGCATGTCTCATGTCTTTGGATTTGATAAAAAATGATAAAAGAAGGCCTCAATTTTTGAAATTTGGCTTCACTGCATTTGAGTGCAACAAAGAAGGTTGGGGCGGCTGAGAAAAAACGAAAGATAAGGGGGGAAGAAGTGACAAAAAGGGTATTAAGGTCATTTTATTACTTCCGTTAAGAGAGTCAATAGTGAAATTAGTCCAAGTTTGCCCTTACGAATATTTCGATTTGGTAATTGTAATTAGGTCTGGTAAAATGCAACATAATTTGATTATTTGATACGAATTACGAATTGACCCACAATTAGTGAGTTTAAATTTGATTTTACCGGATTCATGTGTTAAACAGTGAGTCAACCTACCTTATGAGGGCACGCTTGTTTGATGGGTTTGGAAGGGTGTGTTTAAGTAAAATAAATCAATAGACTCTTTAATTTCATGTGTGAATAGAACTGAAATTCAAATCTCGATTTGTGAGTGGCTCGAAGTATAAACTCATATACATGGGGTTAGACTAGGGGTGTTCATAGGCCGGGCCGGGCTAGACTAGCGAAATTTTTTCGAGCCGAGCTGGATAGTGTAGGCCTAAAGCCTTTACCCAAATGATTTATCGGCACAAATTGGGCGGGTTGGGTTTTGAGTAAGCATAAGTTATCCGCAGTTCAACCCGTGAACCTATTGGGCGAACTTGCTCGTAAACTTTTTTATATACAATTTTATTTAAAAATAATAAATATTTTTATAACTTAAAATTTGTGTAAATTATATTTTTGAATCAAAATTAGAGTCAAAATAAATATAAATAAAATAATAAATAATTTTATTTTTGATTAGGAGATGAATTATATCCAATAAAATGAATACATCACAACTAGGTTAACACCTACTCACTTATCTACCATTTACATTACTCTACTCTTTAAAACTTGTATATTTAATATATGAAAAAGAAAATAATACATTATTTATAGTATCTAAATTTTTAAATTTCAAATTCTAACATTGGAAACTTGTTTCGAAGTTTCAAATTTAATGGTTTAAAAGTATAATTTGTTTACAAAGAAAGGTTGGACCGGCTGTGTGGGCGGGTGGGCTCTTGGACCAAATTTTAACGAGTTTTTTTGGATGGGCTTCCAATTAGGGTTTGGGGACAAACTCAAGCCCTCTTTTTAAAGATATTGAGTTCGGACTCGGACGGGTCAAATATCAGACTTATCAAGTTTCGAGCCAAGTAACAGGACTTATAGGTAACCGACTCATGGACACTCCTAGGTTGGACAAACTCAATGGGGTTTCAAATATGCTAGCCTCGGTGAACTACGTCGAACGACCCTTCTATCCTCAATAAAATATTTTATTTATTAAATCACTTCTCAACCCCTCAATTACGCTCCTCTATAATTAAATAAACACGAGTATCAATTGAATTGACCATT